TGTACAATTGTTTTAATCATGACAAATAGGAATTCAATGTCCTGCCAAGCAGATAGATTAAATTGTAGTTATTCAATACTGTGCTGTGCAGTTAGTGGAAAGCAATTAAGCTCTATGTATACTTCTCTGGAGAGGTTTCCACAATATATTAAATGAAATCTGTGATTTTCAGAATCTTATGTGTAAAACGATCTTATAGTCATAGTCAGAATTAATATTGAATATATCTGTGGGTATACATGTACATACACATGCACGCGTGCGCACACACACACACACACACACACACATATATACATCTGTACTTTTCTTGCCTTTTGTGGGCACTTTCCCTTTCTTCACTTCTGTGTTCTGGTGAACTGCTAGTCGTACAACACTCCAGTGAAGCCAATTGGATTTCTCCTTCTTGGTTATTTCGGTTGGAGACACAGAAACAGGAGCAAGGCCAGTATTCAGCTTTATGACCCAATGTGGCTGTGCTGGATGCTTCCTTTTAGTCAGTATTCATTCCAGTTGGTTGGAACACTTGTACCAGCTGTGACATATATACAGTGTGACTCCTGGATGGGAAATAGCTTGAATTGAGTCATCCTTTTGCAGCAACCTAAAGGTTTGTCCATCTGTCACTGGGACCTGTTGAAATGACTCCTGCTTTAAGACATCCTGGTTTTGTTCTGTTCTTTAAATCTGTAAATTACTGGGCATTCTTCTAATATTTGATTTCTAATTTTAAGTGAGAATCACATTCTTTTGTTCTTGATGAAAAAAAGCTAGCCAATATAGAAATTGATACTAGAGAATGATTACCATGCTACAGAGAAGCAGAGTATTCAGGTTTGATCATTAAATGAGATAGATCAGAGGACAGAGAAACTCCTCATCCTACTCTGCTACAAAGGCATATTTGTGATACAGCAGGATCATAAACCCGTCATGCAATAGGCGCTACATAGCTCCTACCAAAAACCGAAGGTGATGAGGAATGCTGCTTTCAAATGTATAGGCAATCATTGTTTATAACGAAACCAGATAATTAAAAGTAAAATTTCAAGACTACTTGAAATTCTGACCTTAAGCAAGAAATTGAAATCAGGACCTTTATGACTATGCTGGGAAAGAATCTCTTGTTGCTTCTAACCAGGGACTGCAGTTGCTGAAAAGCAAATGCAATCGTAGATGTGTTCATTGCTGAGCTATGACGCTTACTGAACTCCCAACCTTGCCACTTAAGTAATTTGGGAAAGATTTGAATCCAGGTTATTGCGATGAGGCTATCAGGAATGATTCAAGAATCTTAGAAAACTTTGTATCTCCCTCTCAACCCTTAAGAAACCTCCCTACTAATTTTACTCACTTCTTGCTTCCCTTGTAGCTGGAAACTTAATTGTCCCTGCTCTGCCATACTCACCATTATTGCTTGGCTGGTAACAAAAATCAGAGTTTAATATGACTTGTAGCTTGAAATACAGAAAGTTTGGAAGGACATTAATCTCACCCAGAAATATTTAATGTCCTTCATTAGTTATCAAAAATCTAGGGAACATTTTTGGAAATGTTTTGAAGGTTAGAAATGACTTTGCATAATATATAAGGACTTGGAAGAATTCAGGAGTTTATCATCCTATATTGGATCCTGTAGGTCCAAATCCCTCAATCATGTTCTGCAAGTTCCCAGCAGCCTTTCCGTGTTCCTCTGACATGAAAGAAGCATGAGCATCTTTAGAAATGTCCCTGTGTCTTCTCCTTTAGGTACTGGGAGTTCTCATGACAGTGACTGCATTTGGAAAGGGTGTCTGATTTCTGTAGGAACTACGTTTGGCATGTGTGGTAGCTTGATTACAGGGCAATAGTTAACTGTGAGAAGAAAGGGAAAAGGTCATAACAAACCTCAGAACTCCAAGAATGTTCTGATTTCTCATATTTCCACATATTTAATAATTGATATTCAGGGTTGAAAGTGTACTAAGGTTTTAATTTTAAAAACTCCATGGCATGGCATCTACCTAAGCCTCCCATTGATTTAAATCTATGGCAAGGGATCTGGGTGCTCTTGAATGACTGTCATTAAAATCACTGTGAACATTTCCACTGGAATTTTAAAGACTTGCTTTTATGCAGAGTGAGGGCTTATGGAGGAATTCTTATATAAGTGTAGCAGGTCCAACAAGAGCACAAACACATACTGTGGTTATTTTCCCAGATCCTGGGCACATTTGTGTTAATGATGTCTATGATGTGACTAGATGACCACCAAAAGTTGGTGCTTCCTTTTCTGTTGTCCGAGACTAATTCCAGGGTGTGTCTTCCTGGGCACCCTTCCAGGTCTGTCTATCAGATCAATTTTCT